GCCTTGAGAATAATCTTGGGATGCCCAAGAAATGCTGCGATTGATATAATGAGGATGGAATTGAACTGACAGAATATTGGGGATAGAATTTCTGAGATAAATGTAGCTTCGGTGATTAGATTAATGAGAGGCGTGGGAGCTAATGAATTAATCCGCTCAGTTCCAAAGGTGGGAAGAAATGAACAATACATGTTAAAATATAATAAGAGAGCATATATGAGATCCTTATGTCCTAATATTACAAATCATGATGTCTTTCAGGAATATAAATTGGATAAGTTTAGATTTAGGAAAGACTTGGGTAAATACTGGTTCAGTAACAGGGTTGTTGATTTGTGGAACCAATTGCCGCGTAACATTGTGGAGGTGGGGTCCCTCGATTGTTTCAAGCACGGGTTGGACAAGTATATGAGTGGGATTGGGTGGTTATAGAATAGGAGCTGCCTCGTATGGGCCAATAGGCCTTCTGCAGTTACCTTTGTTCTTATGTTCTTATGTTCTTATGTTCTAATATATTGCATTGTCAAAGAAACAATTAACACCACCATGGGAGGAATGTAACGTAGATGTAGTAATTATTCCCTCTATTTTCTTTCATGGCGAGTTTTCAGACTCTTATCTCTGCCGCTGTCTGAGTATTTCACTGACAAGCAATAGCGCCTTATCTTGAGATACCTTGAGATGGTTTCCGGACCTTGCGTCCCTGCACCCTGGTCCTCGACCAGGCCTCCAAGTCTGTTTACTTGGAAACAGACGCCTAACATTTTGACACTTCTTCTTGCTCAACACTTGTACAGCCACTACAGTCAAAAATAACGCTATGTCTTCAATTTCTATTTTAGTAAAGTTATTTTCCTTAGCCTTTGTTTCAATTTTTTTTCCAGCACATTGGGTTGAACACTGCCATCCCTAGTGGATAGTTTATTTTTCTTAGGCTGTTCCATCATTCCTTTTCCTTATCGAGATCTTACTTTCAAAAGTACATATCTGCTTTTTGAGAAAGTACAACTCAGCCAAAAAATAATCCCAGAACTAAGTCAACTCTCATACCAGAAAGTGTTGCGGGCTACATAACTGACAACACTGCAAACCATACATGACAGAGATGCTCTCACAAATCTGCCGAAACCATAAATGCTAAGACGTTACTTCATTTCAAAATCCAACTGGAAAAAAATAATCCTCAGGAACACCAGGAAGACCTTAGATAAGCTGCTGCATTCCCGTCCCCCGTCGAACCACTAGAGAGATTGAAACTGAAATTGAAATAAGTTTATTTCTATATTCTAAACAAAGCACAGGAACGTGAAATAAATAGATCGTATACTAATGACCCAAAGTGGATAACAAAGAATTTGAAGAACCTTTAGGTAAAAAGAGAGCTTGGTACAAAAGGATTAAAAATGGGGGGTCACTTTAGAACAGGAATTCGTACAACTGGTTAGAAATGTTAAAAAAGAGATAAGGAAAGCAAAAAGAAACTATGAAGTTCGCATAGCAGGGCAAGCAAAGACAAATCCTAAAGGGTTTTTTCAGTTATATCGTACTAAGACTAGGGAAAGGATAGGTTCATTAAAAACTGAGACAGGTCAAATAACAGATAGTGATGAAGAGATGAGTAGTATTTTTAATAAATATTTTGTATCTGTATTTACTAAAGAGGAACTTAACAATATGCCTTCAGCCGAACAAGTCTATGTGGGTGGGGACGAGGACAGGTTGACGAGTTTAGCAGTTACCAGGGAGGATGTTCTTAAACAAATAGTAAACTCAAACCAAACAAATCCCCAGGGCCGGATGAAGTGTTTGCTAGGGTGCTTAAAGAATGCAAAGAGGAGCTTTGTGACCCACTGTCAACCATATTTAATAAATCAATAGAGTCAGGCAGAGTGCCAGAGTTTTGGAAAGTTGCTAATGTGATACCAGTTTTTAAGAAAGGAGATAGATCACTTGCGTCTAACTATCGACCAATTAGCCTAACGTCTATTGTGGGAAAGTTACTCGAATCTATAATAGCAAATAAAATTCGTCTTCATCTTGAAAAACATAAATTAATAATTGAGTCGCAACATGGTTTTATAAATGGCCGTTCATGTTTAACAAATTTGTTATCTTTTATTCTAGCATTGTTGAGGCAGTTGATAGTGGTAAGGATTGCGATGTTGTATACCTTGACTTTAGCAAAGCTTTTGATACAGTGCCACATGAAAGACTGATTAAAAAAATAGAGTCTCATGGTATTGGGGGTGCTATATTAAGCTGGATTAGGGCATGGCTATACCAAAGGAAACAGAGAGTTAGTATAAATGGAATCAAGTCAGAGTGGGAAAATGTTGTAAGTGGAGTGCCTCAAGGCTCTGTCCTGGGACCTCTGTTGTTTATAATATATATAAATGATTTAGATTCAGGTTTGAGTAGCAACATTTGCAAATTTGCCGATGATACGAAAATCGGTAGGGAAATTAATTCGGAGGAGGACTCACTATCACTTCAAGTTGATCTAGATAGGGTTTTGAAATGGTCAAAGGATTGGCAGATGCAGTTTAATGCTGATAAATGTAAAGTTCTGAGGTTAGGTAATGATGATAGAGTTACAAGATACGAGCTAGATGGTGTTGTGATTGCGAAGTCGGATTGCGAAAGGGATCTGGGAGTTATGATTAGTAAGAATTTAAAACAAAAGGATCAATGCATAAATGTTCGTAATAAGGCAAATCGGACACTTGGATTTATTAATCGCAGCGTTAGTAACAAGACACCTGGTGTGGTTCTCAAGCTATATCTTGCTCTAGTTAGGCCCCATTTAGATTATGCAGTTCAGTTTTGGTCGCCATATTATAGAATGGATATAAATTCACTTGAACGTGTCCAGCGTAGGATGACTAAGTTAATTCCCCAAATTAGAAATCTTTCATATGAAGAAAGATTAACAAAGCTTAAGTTGCATTCACTGGAAAGGCGAAGAGTTAGGGGTGACATGATAGAGGTTTACAAGTGGATGAATGGACATAACCGGGGGGATATTAATAGGGTATTAAAAGTATCAACACAGGACAGAACACGAAACAATGGATATAAATTGGATAAGTTTAGATTTAGGAAAGACTTGGGTAAATACTGGTTCAGTAACAGGGTTGTTGATTTGTGGAACCAATTGCCGCGTAACATTGTGGAGGTGGGGTCCCTCGATTGTTTCAAGCACGGGTTGGACAAGTATATGAGTGGGATTGGGTGGTTATAGAATAGGAGCTGCCTCGTATGGGCCAATAGGCCTTCTGCAGTTACCTTTGTTCTTATGTTCTTATGTTCTTATTTCAATTTCTTTATTTGGGTTGGACATATATATGAGTGGGATTGGGTGGTTATAAATTGGTGCTGCCTCGTATGGGCCAATAGGCCTTCTGCAGTTACCTTCGTTCTTATGTTCTTATTGAGGTAAAATACACACAGGGATGAGGTAGCTCAAGCTATTCTCACCCCGTTCAGTACATCGTTTTAATACATACATATACACACATCACAAACAATAAACGTATTACCGAACATTCTGAGAGATAAACATATATATTTCCGTCTAGAGAGATGGTAGCCTACAGGTAAACTATACATCAGCATAGATCTGACTTCAATAGGACTTTAAAATGCGCCTGTATGTCATGTCTTAATGACTGTAGTTCCTTCATAATACCAAATATCCAGCCACAGGAGGTCGCCCTACTTTCTCTGCTGACTAATTGTTGTATTATATCCTGTATACCTGCTGCACTCTAATATACATCACTCAGTCTAAAGTTGTATTTCCTCACAATTAAGTTGATACTTCTGTGGATGTAGTGGAGTGATAAGTGATTGCCTGAAAAACAGAGTTGATCGAGTTTCTTGGATGGGCGATTTCTTTCAGACAAAAAATATATCATTCGTTTGTAAATTATTTCTTCAATTGTGAATGAGGACATGAGGCTAGGGTAGGCGACGGCACGGAGTGTGAACGTCCAAGACACGCCTCGGAGCTTCCCTAAATACACAGTTATCTTGGCCAAGGTCACCATTTTGTAGGTCCCATACGAGATTAGACATGGACTGTTAAATAACTTCACTTGCGACCACGTATCAAAATGACCAAATTCACTCTTAAAAAATAATGACATATTTCTATGAGCGAGAGAGAGAGAGAGAGAGAGAGAGAGAGAGAGAGAGAGAGAGAGAGAGAGAGAGAGAGAGAGAGAGAGAGAGAGAGAGAGAGAGAGAGAGAGAGAGGGAGAGAATATAATATAAATTAAATGTCACCTTAACATCTTCCCCCCCCCTCCATACACATCAGTGACCACCTTTTATGTTATATTCTATATATACATTAGCAGCATACATACTGGCGTTTACAACGTCACTGGAGCCTCCTGGTATTGTCCATGAGGGCAAGGAAGGTTGCTACCTTTTTTAGATCACGTAAAGAGCAAGTCGTCTGGCATGATTACGCTCTATAAATACACTATCCTATTTTACAGTCTCGATAGGTTGTCATCGTCAGAGTACATCGTCAGTTTTGTACATGCTGACGTTATGTCAATTTATTGATTATATATATATATATATATATATATATATATATATATATATATATATATATATATATATATATATATATATATTAGTGTGTGTGTGCTTATGTATGTTGCAGCCCCGTTGTATTTTCTGTAATTCACCAGAATAACAGACACTTGAGTTGCATGTAATGATTTTGTTATCCTCTCAGATAAGTGACAGTACATAATAATCATTATGCTGGTGATAATATAGCATAGTTTGTAATCAATTGTTGTAGATAACGTACTGTATATATATATTCTTCGCCATGTAAAGATACTTTAGTATCCCCAGAACATTACGAAAACTCTCGCTAAAACCAGAGCTGGTAACTGTTAGCATGACTTGGAGGGGAGGAGTTTCCACGTAGTGGTTTTCCTAAAATACGGCGCTATGATTTTTTCCTCCATTTTGAGAAATATGTTAGTTTCATGTGTCTCCCCCCGCCTGGTCCCTTGATAACACTGCACGGGAGGCCCAGAGGCGGAGGCTATCGGGGGGGAAAATCAGCCCGCACTGCTGAGTAGCCATTGTGGTGGAGAGAGACGGGTGTGGGATTCTCTGGCAAGTTCTGGAGGCGAGCGTTCTCTGGCGCTAGTGTTGGGTCGGGTGCGTGGGCCGAAGTGTGCCGCTCAGTATATTAGAAACCCCCGGTGTACCCGGCTCAGTATGTCATACTTCCACGGTTCGCCCAGTAGCCACACCAAGCCACACTCGAGAACTGCCGCCGGCCACGGCTTCGGTGAGGGAATACCCAGCTTCGGGGAGGACGCCAGATCTAGACATTCGTGGGAGAGGAGGGTGCCTGATCTGAGTGAGAGGCTCAGAAGCCTTTCCCCAAGTGCCAGAAAATCCGGGGAAGAAATATTGAGAGATCTTAAGGAACAATTGAGACGGGAGGGGGACATGTTCTTCAGCAACTCGTCGCCTGACTGGGGATTTAGTCCGAAATCTATGTTTTCTAAGGTGAGTTAAACTCTTTCTTTAATAAGTTTTGCGCTTGACTTTCCACCTTTCCACCGTTGTTGTGATGTGTGTGTGTGTGATAGTGGAAGTTGTTCCGAGTTCCATTGTGTTCTTAGTAGTTGTGTTCTGAGTAGTTGTGTTTTAGAGGTGGCCAAGTACACCTGCCACTTTCAACGTCTGGGGAACTTTGCAGGCTTACAAATGATCCGCAAAATCTTAATCGGAAGCCGATGTAGAATTTCGTCCGGTAATCAGCCCACACTTAATCCGGTTTGAGGCAATTATTGTGGCGTGGAATGAACATTCAGGTCTTGCAAGCATGCATACGCACGCACATGTATGTGCATACACGCACACACATATGGATACATACACACATATACATACATACATACATACATACATACATACATACGTACGTACTAAGTCTGTTCATGGCTGTTTATTATAGTGTCATTCTTTACCCACAATAGGGAATACCGGGTCCGAATCGCGAGCCGGACAGCAACGCTTGGGCACGTTTTCTGGAATTAGTCAACGTATATTCATACACATGATGTCTGTCCCGGATACAATGAATTCTACACACACACTCATGTATATCCTAATATCAGTTTTCCTATGTAGTATAGTATACAGCAGTAGAGTGTGGTGTATTAATGCACTAGGCCTGGTTGATACCAGGTTGCCTCTACTAGCACAATGTATAAAAACAGTATTCCAGAATTATATACTAGTAGAGTAGGCCTATATGGTGTATTAGGCCTATGCTAGCATGGTGTAGTTGAGCAGTATGGTGAAGGTCTAGTAGTTCAGCATGCCATTATGGTGCAATGCATTTTTCACTACAGTAAAACATTGTGGTGTATTAATACATTACAGAAGCAGTATAGTGGCATATTTTAACAGCATGACACAGCATACGCCAGCATGATACAGCATACGCCATCGTGATACAGCATACACCAGCATGGTACAGCATACATCAGCATACACTAACATGGTACAGCATACACCAGCATGATACAGCATACACCAGCATGGCACAGTATACACTAACATGGTACAGCATACACCAGCATGGTACAGCATACACCAGCATGGCACAGCATACACCAGCATGGCACAGCATACACCAGCATGATACAGCATACACTAACATAGGACAGCATACACCACCATGGTACAGCATACACCAGCATGGTACAGCATACACCAGCATGGCACAGCATACACCAGCATGATACAGCATACACTAACATAGGACAGCATACACCACCATGGTACAGCATACGCTAACAAGGGGCCTCGTAGCCTGGTGGATAGCGCGCAGGACTCGTAATTCTGTGGCGCGGGTTCGATTCCCGCACGAGGCAGAAACAAATGGGCAAAGTTTCTTTCACCCTGAATGCCCCTGTTACCTAGCAGTAAATAGGTACCTGGGAGTTAGTCAGCTGTCACGGGCTGCTTCCTGGGGGTGGAGGCCTGGTCGAGGACCGGGCCGCGGGGACACTAAAGCCCCGAAATCATCTCAAGATAACCTCAAGATGGTACAGATTACACCAGCATGGCACAGCATACACCAGCATGGTACAGCATACACCTGAATGATACAGCATACACCTGAATGTTACAGCATACACCTGAATGATACAGCATACACCTGAATGATACAGCATACACCTGAATGATACAGCATACACCAGCATGATACAGCATACACCTGAATGATACAGCATACACCTGAATGATACAGCATACACTAGCCTGGTACAGCATACACCAACATGACACAGCCTCCATCAGCATGGCACAGCATGGTGTAGCATACACCAGCATGCTAGAGAATAAGCCAGCATGGTACAGCATACACCAGACTGCATAGTACAGTATTACAAGATACTACAGGAGGGTGGTGTACTGGTGTAGACTACACGATTGAAATTGTATTTCAGTATAGACTACTGGTGTGGCGTTGTATTTCAATAGTGAGGTGTTATAGGACAATAATGTGTGATATTGTATTAAAGTATACCACTTTGGTGTTGTTTTACATAATACTGGAGTGGTACAGTATACTATTGCAGTATATCATAGTAATATTGTATACCAACCAGTTCGGTTAAGTTGTACGGTGTGATGTTGTACAGTATACTGGAGTGATGTATAATATACTGGCGTAGTGTTCATAATACTGTAGTGAACAATGAGGTGTTAGTGCTTACTACAGTATTACCAGTATTACTACATCAATATACTATTATTGTGTAGTTGTACAATTACCCAGTGTATCAGTATTGTGTAATAGCTCAACATATTCCTAGTGGTGTAGCGTGGTTTACCCACTGTAAACAGGTATACCAGTGTTGTACTGGTACACTGTACACCCTGTATAGACCTATCAGAATGAGTACTAAATTCACACAATACACAAATGTGTGCAGTGTACACCTCATGTGTTCAGTGTCGATTACCGGTATTATGTACACGTTGTGTAAGACCAAACAGGTGTACAACAGGTCAGGAGCACAACGTAGGGCATTTTGGACCTTCGACAAGCCGCCGGCTGCCTGTCCTGGTCGAGGCCACTAGCGTTAGTGTTCTCTCAGGTAAACTCAGGTAATGGGGTTCTGGGGCTTGGTGAATGGGTGTGGTGGAGAGAGGTGTTATTGGTGAAGAGAGATGGGGGAAGGAAGGGGGGAGGAGGCTGTGTTGTAGTGGTAGACGTGGCTGGTGGTGGGAGAGGGGGGGGTGGGAGAGGGGGGAAGGGAAGGGAGGGAGGGGTAATGGATGGGTAAACTGGTAAGGAGCCGATAGTGAGGGTGGTGGGGACGCAGGAATGTGGTGCAGACCCACACTTCCCTCCCCCCCCCCCACACACACACACTGCGGGAAGGTCATATCGCTTTACAATGCAAATACCCTCCCACCAATCCTCCCCCTCCCACCAAGCGCCCATATAACAGCACTCGATACGCTGTACCTCCACTCCCACCGGTGATTATGACACAGGTAACACTTGTCAAACTATAGGTAACACTTAAGCCATAATATACACTCCACTTGCCATGATTTGGCAGGTGTTGGGGGGTAGGGGGGTAGGGGAGATACTATAAGCTGGCCACCCAGTGTGTGTGTGGGGGTGGGGGGCTGGTCGCTGTTATCTCTGGAATGCAGTTTTTTGGGGCCTGTCATACATGCCAGATTATACCACGTTTGCTACAGAGTATACCATATACGTCTCATGGTAGACCACAGACTACACTATATACTGTCCCTGGTAGACCACTGACCACACTATATACTGCCCCTGGACAGACTACACTATATACTGCCCCTGGACAGACTACACTATATACTGCCCCTGGTACACCACAGACTACACTATATACTGCCCCTGGTACACCACAGACTACACTATATACTGTCCCTGGTAGACCACAGACCACACTATATACTGTCCCTGGTAGACCACAGACCACACTATATACTGCCCCTGGTAGACCACAGACCACACTATACTGTCCCTGGTAGACCACAGACTACACTATATACTGCCCCTGGTAGACCACAGACCACACTATATACTGCCCCTGGTAGACCACAGACTACACTATATACTGCCCCTGGTAAACCACAGACCACACTATATACTGCCCCTGGTAGACCACAGACTACACTATATACTGCCCCTGGTACACCACAGACTACACTATATACTGCCCCTGGTACACCACAGACTACACTATATACTGCCCCTGGTACACCACAGACTACACTATATACTGCCCCTGGTACACCACAGACTACACTATATACTGCCCCTGGTACACCACAGACTACACTATATACTGCCCCTGGTACACCACAGACTACACTATATACTGCCCCTGGTACACCACAGACTACACTATATACTGCCCCTGGTACACCACAGACTACACTATATACTGCCCCTGGTACACCACAGACTACACTATATACTGCCCCTGGTACACCACAGACTACACTATATACTGCCCCTGGTAGACCACAGACTACACTATATACTGCCCCTGGTAGACCACTGACCACACTATATACTGCCCCTGGACAGACTACACTATATACTGCCCCTGGACAGACTACACTATATACTGCCCCTGGTAGACCACAGACTACACTTGCCTACATTACAATGATACCCAGTTTCTCTAGCACTGCAAAGTAGCAATATTTCAGTCAGCCCTCAATATATTGCAGACCTGACCGAGTGAGTACATTTACACAGAAAATGAACCTGCATAGCCACGGTGAGGTGAAATTGAAATAAGTTTATTGAGGTAAAATACACACAAATGGATGAGGTAGCTCAAGCTATTCTCACCCCCGTTCAGTACAACGTGTTAATACATACATAGACACATATCACAAGCAATAAACGTATTACCGAACATTCTGAGAGATAAACATATACATTTCCTATGGTGAGGTGAACACGTGATACAGTCATGTGGGCGTCGTGGGAAAACTGGGTTAAGAAGCTCATGGGGGAAGGGGGGGAGGGATAGGTGGGTTAGGTTACCTGCTCTGTTTTGGCCGGTATAACCCGTCCAGTAACTCACCAGATCCGCCCGTGTTTAACCAGGAACGTATTTCACGTACTGCGGACTAGACAATTTTTCCTCGGTTTAAATGTGATCCTGAAAAACTTACACTTGTCACAAATGGGTATTGTAATGGGAACTAGTAGTTCTGGCTACTAGGTATACTACCTGGTATACTACCTAGTAGCCAGAACGTCGTACTCGGCCTACTACGTAAGGCCCAATTTGCCTAATAAGCCAAGTTTTCCTGAATTTATATGTTTTTCGATTTTTTTCTTATGAAATGATAAATCTGCCCATTTCATTATGTATAAGTTATTTTGTTTAAATTTGAGTTAAAACTAACGTAGATATATGACCGAACCTAACCAACCCTACCTAACCTAAACTAACACAACTACGTCAGTAATTTAT